GAGGATCTGTCTCCTCGATGCTTGTAGTCTTTGTGGCGTCGAGATGAGTCTGTCTTTCAGAACCTCAGTTTCCTTATCTCTAAAATGGGAGTAATGAAATGAGAGTCCTCACAGAGAGTGGCTGACCTTGACCTGCAATGCTCCATGTGTTATGTTTTATGATCTACACACACACACACACACACACACACACACACATACACACCCGGCTGTGCAACCACCCTTCCCCAACTCCTATTCATCCAGCCAGCCTTGTGGCAGGTGCAGCTCAGGATACCCAGATGAAGTCAAGGGAAAAAGGAAATCTCTCTCTATTGCCCGAGAACTCAGAGGCGGAAAAGCTGACCTCCTGCTGGGAAACTCGTTGATGTGTGTTGGAACTATTCACAAACCACGCTGCCAATGTATTTTGGTGTCACGGCGCCGTCCGCTTATCATGGTGAAAAGGAACTTTTTTGTTTTCAAATAGCTTTTGTGTACGTTAAGCAGTGTTTCAGTCATTGTACAAGAGTTTCAACAAGTCAGATTAGGAGGCAACGTGTCCATCAGTGACCCCCTTCTTTCATCCCGTGATTCCTCATTCCATCCATACCATTATATTGTTCCACTCTTTTCTTCCATCCTGGGGCTTGAACTCAGAGTCTGGGCGCTGTCTCTGAGCAATTTTTCGCTCAAGGCTAAGCTCTCTACCCCTTTGAGCCTCAGCTCCACTTCTGGTTTTCTGGCGGTCATTTCCTGCCCAGGCTGGCTTTGAACCTCCATCCTCAGATCTCAGCCTCCTGAATAGCTAGGATGACAGGTGAGAGCCACCGGCGCAGGGCTGGGCACATGGACTGCTGAGATTTCTGAAGCGTGGGTAATTCTGGGGGCCACACAAGGCCGAGTCACCGCTTCCTGCCGCCTCTGCTTCATCAGGCCACGTGGAGGCCTAGATTCCCATCGAAGGGACATTCCGGGCTGGGTCCCCTCTGCTCCTCCCAGGACCTTAAAGCCGGCTCACGCCAGCGGTCCTGGCCAGCAGCTCAGCGCCAGGCTGGCGGCTCAGCTGTGTTTGTGACATCGCTGGTTGCCCGGGAGACGAGTTCTGTTTCTAGATCTCTGGCACGGGTGGCGCGAGCTGGGGCAGATGAGCTCAGGGACAGTCCTGCCCATGTTTGCTGTGGGCACTTGGTAACCACCCAGCCAGACATGGGTTCAAATTTCTCCTGCAGAGGAGGGGGTGGGGTGAAGAAGGGCACACCCTGGGTTTCTGGGGCTCAGACAGGGGTGGTTCAAATCCCCGCTGTCTTTCCTACTTCTTTTGCGGCGTCAGGTCGATGGCTTCTTTCTCTGGTCCCTCTAGTAGAGACAAACACCATCTGCTTGCTGGACTCATTGAAAGGGTGAAAGGGCAGAATGGATGTATGGACAGAGAAGGGACAGTGGTGGACCAGGCCCCGAGTGCCCCATGGATGGAGGGGCTCCCAAGAGAGGGTCTCTGTGGGAAACTGAAGGAAGAGGGCGATCTTGGTCAGGGCCATAGAAGAAGCCAATGGTTGGACTGGATTCCAACTCCTGAGTAGCTGGGATTATAGAAGTGAGCCACCATCCCTGGTTGGGATGACATATTTACTGCACCATCACCTGGAAGCCTCCGCTGAATTCTGTGTCTTTGTCTCAGGCATTGGCATGGCACCTCCTGTGAGACGGGGTTGGGGTTGGGGGTGGGGTGGAGAAGTCTGGTTCACGTCTACCTTTGCACTTCCTAAACGTGTTGGCCTGCAGAACCTCCCTTACTCTTTTCTCTTGGAAATGAAACCCACAAGCTGGGCACCGGTGGCTCACACCTGTCATCCAAACTACTTGGGAGGCTGAGATCTAAGGATCACAGTTCAAAGGCAGCTCCGGCAGGAAAGTCTTGGAGATGCTTATCTTCAGTTAACCATGCCAAAGCCAGAAGTAGAGCTGTGGCTCAAGTGGTAGAGCACCAGCCTTGAGAGAGAAAAAAAAAAAGATAAAAAGCTTCAGGACAACATCCAGGCCCAGAGTTCAAGTTCCAAGACCAGCACATGTGTGCATGCACACGCACACACACACACACACACACACACACACACACACACACACACACACACACACACACTGTGCACAAAATGGAACCCACTCTGGGAACTGCCAACCAAGTACACAATCTTAGACGCACCCAGAAAAAGTCTCAATTTCTACCTTTTCTAAAGACGTTAAAGAAATCTATCTTCAAACTGTGTGTGTGTGTGTGTGTGTGTGTGTGTATGTGTGTGTGCTAGCTTAGATCTGAGAGGTGTGTGTGCACTCACACATGCTTGTTGACAGCAAACCCTGTCACCACACCCGCTGTGGATTTCCTGAGCTGTCACCATGAGGTACAGAGCAAGCCAAGGTGTCACGGCATCCTGACGAGTGTGTAAGCCCACATAGAGACTTGAGGAATGGTATCCTGAGGCTGGATCACTCTCCCCCATACCCTGAACTGCTGGGGGTGGTGGGATAGTGAGGGGGGGCGGGACATGGACGGGCAGTAACAGCCAATCACAGGTTCTGCTTGGTTTACCAGCTCTTTCCTGGATCTTCCCTGCAGTTCTCTGGAAGGGGGGTAAGTCAGGATGGTAGTTTGTGGTTCCTAGGTTGCAGATGAGGATACAGAGCTTCTGAGGGACGGTTCAGGGTCACTGGATCCCCGTGTCTTTCTCCTCTGCTGCTCACTCTCCCTCCTTCTTGTCACCCACCTGCCTCTGTGCTGGCTAACAGCTCTGCTCTGGTCCTGCATTGGAAGAATCCGGGTTTGGAGTCTCCCCTGCCCTCCATTTCCAGCATCTCTGGAGACAGGCATGTCCGTCTGCGTGCTGGGCCTTCTCCTCGGCCTCGGGAGCCATGGGACACCCCACGGCAGCTTACACAGGGGATGTCACTGACACGGGTGTCTGTGTGCGGGGTCATCCGGCTCACTGGGGACAGGGGTCTGGGCCGGCCCTCCGCAGCGGCCAGACAGACCCTCCCAGGAGGCCTGGAGCCCACCATACCTTCCTACAGTCCCCCGGGGCCCAGAACACGAGGTGGGAAGGTCCCCTAGTCAGCACACATCTGGCCAGCTCCAAGTGTGGGCTCATGGGAGGGACGGTATTGATTTTCCTATTGGATGCATAGTGGGGGAGGGGCCGGGAGGGGCCGGAGGAGGAGGAGATGCAGCCACTGATTCCCGGAATTGATGTCGACCCACATTCATTTGTTTCTTCCCTTCAAGGTCAAAGCAAGTCATCTCCATTCATCACGGATGGCAGCTGGCTGGCGGCTGTGGGACATGGGGGTGCGCGGTGGATCAACCCTCTGGAAGCTGCGTCCAGGAGAGGGACACAAGGACTCCGGGGCATCTCCTGTTCCCATAGCACCGAAGGGGGGGCTCTGTAGCAACCTTCCTCCATCTCTTTAGAGACATCAGCAGAAGTCATGTCATCGATTTTGAGGCCAAGTCTTGTGCCTTTGGCCTGAATGTCTCAGAACTATAAAATGGGTTGGCTCCTGGAGATTGAGTGTGTGTGTGTGTGTGTGTGTTTTAACCTTGGGTATAACTTTCTGGGGTGACCCACAGTCCTCATTCATGCAATTCATTCATTTGCTAAGTCTTGCTTCCAGTACTGCCCCTTTCCCATAAAGGACAGGACTGGACTCCATAGAAAAGAAAATCTGAGCTGGATGCTGGTGGCTCACGCCTGTCATCCTAGCTACTCAGAAGGCTGAGATCTGAGGAACATTGGTTCAAAGCCAGCCTGGGCAGGAAAAATCCATGAGTCTCATCTCCAGTGAACCAACAGAAAACGGGAAGTGGCGCTGTGGCTCAAGTAGTAGAGCGCTCACCATGACCTGAAGAGCTCAGGCCCACTTGAATAGGATTGGCTGAAGGGATGGGACATGTGACACAAGCCCAGCCAATCAAAACACTGAATTCTTGCTCTGCCACTTAGCTCAGGGAAGTGGGGAGAGGGGAGAGATTGGGAATTAAGTGTAACACGTGTGACACTGTGGGGCCACATCTGATGGAAAGAAACAGTGCTATGGACATCTCTAGAGCCCTTGAACCCACATGGAGCTGAGCACAGATCTTATACTGGGAGTGGGGGACTCGGGGCCATTATATTCTTGTTCTCCTTCCTAACAGATCCTTGCTTCGTTCAAAGTCACTGTGCCTAGCCTCAGGACAAACCAATCTGAGTCTAACTGTGGCCACCCTCTTCCCTCTGGCTAGGGTTTGATCTCTGGGTGGACATGTGACCCGGTTACATTTAATGACCTTCATTGAAGAGGATGTCCACTGGGAGCTTCTAGAAAATGTTTTTGCTCACTGATAAAAGAAGCCAGATGAGAAGACTGGTTTGTTTCTTCATTTTTTAATTCCTGCCTTCTCTTCTTACTCATGGTCAGCTGAGGGTGGGATGGCTGGAGCAGCTGCAGCCATATTGCAACCGTGTCATGGTAGCTGATGTCGACTATGATGATATCATTTCTTAAGGGGGCAAAGGAAACAAATGGAAATATTCCAACATCTACACCTGAACAAACAACTCTACATGTCTTGTGAAGCTAGACCAAATAGCTGTTAGATATCCATGAAGCATTATGATCTGAAGCCACCAAACACTGGCTCCTGAATAAGGCAGTGTATCGAGGTGACCACAACAAATTTCTCATTAAAGGAAGCCCAGAGCTGGGTGAACCCTGTGGCTCACGCCTATAGTCCTAGCTCCTCAGGAAGTTGAGTTCTGAAGATCACAGTTCAAAGCCAGCCAGGGAGAAAAAGCCTGTGGATCTCTCCTCTTATCTCCATTTATTCACCAAAATGTGGGACAGGGAGCTCTGGCTCAAGTGGTAGAGTGCTAACCTTGAGCGAAAAAGCCCAGCGAGAGAGTGAGGCCCTGAGTTCAAGCTCCAGTCCCGACACAAAAATAAATACACAAATAAATGCATTCATTAAAGGCAACACAAGAAGCTAAGAACATGAGCTCCTTTATTTTTGTGATCATAATTCCTATTCATTGTTCCTTTCTCCTAAACAACAGCACAAGTCAAACAACAATGACACACACACACACATACACACACACACACGCACACACACATACACACTTCCTACCCATACAATAGCCTGTCTACCAGGCTGTCTGGCCTTTGATTGGTTCCTGGTAGAGCTGTATGGAGACAGCCCCCTCTGTTTTAAAAAAGAAAAAAAATCCTGACGTACATAGGGGACAAAAGAAAGTGGGGACCCTAGCCAGAACTAGCTATTAACTGAGGGGCTCCCAGAATCCTCGGGGGAGTGCCAATTTGGGAGCCAGGAGCATGCTATGAACATCGGGCGAGAGGACAGAAGGCACTATTTGCTTTTACGTGGTTGGGGGATGGTTCCCAGGTAGAGATGGGTCTAGAACCCTTTGTAGGCCAAAGGTATATCAACAAACACCATGAGGTTGGCCAATGGGCTCCATTAACCAAACCATGCAGGAATGAGAGCCTGGTGCAGGAATCCAGTGCTAAGGAGGTCCCCGGGAGGGGTGGGGGAGGGGGGGGCGAAGGAGGGAGGGGGAGAGCATTCCTTTACATTAGCAGCAAGGCAAGATGCAAGGTGAAATGCTGAGTCCTCATCTGTTTGCAACTACACACTCTGCAGTAGTGTCAAACTGATAGAAAAGGTAAAGAAAGGCGGGAAGCACAAAACAAAACAAAATAATAATAAAATTTAAAAAACAACAAACAAAAACCAACCACCCAAACTCCCAATTACTTTGACCTAACCAGCAACCAAGCATGGCCTTCCGATTGCGCCCTCTGATGGAGAAATCTAGTACTACGCCAGCCGGGGACTCTGTGGTCATTCATTCTTCCCTTGCCCCTGGAGGTCCCCGGGCGTCTGTGTCTGTGGCAGGAGATCTGAGTGCAGCTAAAGTAATGCAGTCTGGAGGCAGAGAAGCCCTGGGGCGAGGGGGAGGAGCAGGTCAGGCCGAGGCTGGCCTCTTAGGTGCAGGGGACTTCAGCGCTGTCTTGAGGAAGCTGGTTGTTGAAGCTGGTCTCTCCGAACGGCGAGTAAGGGGGGATCTGGGGAGCCTCGATGATCAGCAGGCCCTCTGGGGAAAGCGAGGCAAAGACGGTCACAGGATCCACCTCAGCAGGGAGCCTGCAGAGAGAGAGAGAGAGAGAGAGAGAGAGAGAGGTGTCAGATGAGACTCCTCCGTCCTGCTGGCCATAGCTGTTTGTGAACATGGCTGTTCATTTGTGACGAGTGTTTGCCAGTGGTACAGTGGCTAGAGTGTCTGGGTCCAGACTGAGATCACCCCCCACCCTCCCCCCCCCGCCCCGAGGTAGACCAGTTATTCGAAGTAGTCAAGTTATGGAGTCCGCCTTGGTGTTGAACAACTGGTGGACGGACCAAGAAAATGTGGCCCATCTACCGTTGGAGCTTTACGCAGCCACGAAGAAGAATGAAACAAGGCTGTTTGCAGGAAAAGGGCTGAAACCTCAGATCATCATAATGGAGCCATAGTGAATGCTTTTGCTCAAATGTGGGGTCTTGACATTATCACCATCATCATCAATAATAATTATCATGACATGACAGTAAAAGGGGAGGTGTTTGCGGGGGGCAGCATGGGAGGGTGATGGGGTGAAATATATCACATATATGATATATCTAATACATGCTACTTCCATATATGTATGTCTACATGTAGATATGTATACATTTTCACATACTCACATATATATATATATATATATATATATATGAGAGAGATGTATAATAAACCCCACTTCAACAAATTTATAATTGTGAGAACACAATTGTAGTGGTGTCACTGTGGTGCATTGATGAAGAAAAGATAGAAAAAGGTCATGAAACCTATGAGCCACCATCTGCTTGCTCATCAACATGAGGCAGGGTAGGTACTATTGCTGTCTCTAATGGACTGTAGAAGAAAATGAAGTTCAGAGAGGGCAACTGCTTTGCCCAAAGTCACACAGCTAGCACCTGACAGATGGGAGCCAGTATTATAATCCTGGGTCTGGAGTCACAGTTAGTGAGCCTACTGTGAGGGTCTTGTAGCTTCTTTTAGAGGCAGACTATGGAAGCAAGGATCGGAGAGGGTTGGCCTCCCTCAAGCTGCTGGTGACAGGCTGACCCAGCTTCACGGCCCGAGTGCCTTCCAGTGGGGGCCTGGCACCGCGAGGCAGAGCCTGGGCATGGCAGGTGGGCAGGCCTGTATTCAAATCCTGACTGTAACTCTCACAGCATGGGCGGGTGAGCTAGTCTCTCTGAACCTTCATCATGCTAGGGAAAGGGGTGAAAAATCCCTGGCTTTGCTGTGGATATTTTCATTATTGAATCACAAAATATCCATACTCCAAAAGCTCTCTCCCCACACCCGGGTACTGGTGGCTCACGCCTGTCATCCTAGCTACTCAGGAGGCTGAGATCTGAGGATCGCAGTTCAAAGCCAGCCCAGGCAGGAAAGTCCGTGAGACTCTTACCTCCAATCAACCACCCAAAAGCTGGAAGTGGAGCTGTGGCTCAAGTAGTAAAGAGCTAGCCTTGACCCAAAAATGCTCAGGGACAGCACCCGGGCTCTGAGTTCAAGCCTCAGGACTAGCAAAATAATAATAATGAGGAGGAGGAGGAGAGTGTTAATATCCATCTGGCTGAGCACTTAAGGGAGGCTTGCTTTGTGTTCTCCTGGGGGGCTCCTATTGCTGGTTTAGGCCCCAGGGCCCTCACCCCCAGCGATTCCCCTCCCCTGAGATCCGCCCTGTGCGTTCACTCACTGGATTTTCTTGGTGAAGTTCTTGGAAACGATGCCGCCTTCGTGCTGCTTCTCCTCGTGTTTGCCTGGAAGAGAGACGCGTCATGTGCTGAGTGTCACAAGTTTATCCCTCGGGTGTCCATCTGACTCCGATCCTGGCCCTGCCCTTAGCTCACCCTGTGGCTCTGGGGTGGTCTAGATGCCCAGGGCCTGGGCTTCAGGCCCGGCCTGCCATGTGGACCCATAAGCCCACCTTTTGGCTGCCTGTGAGGTTGAATTAAAGGGAGAGGCAGGAAAGAGGCTTGCACTGTGGTTTGCTGGCTGAGGGTTAAATGTGAATAGTTACATGTTCAACTATCCCTTCTCCCCTGAGCAGCCAGGAAGCTCCCAGGAGAGGTGGGTAAAAGTCCCCCAACCCAACACACAGGGAGGAAAAAGATGAAATCACAGCAAAGTCAGGGTCCAAATGGGCTGGCTTCCCTTCCTTTCCTTTTTCCTTTTCCTTCCTTTTTTTCCTTCCTCCCTTCCTTCCTTTTTTACTGGTCCTAGGGCTTGAACTCAAGGCCTGAGAACTGTCCCTGAACCAATTTATGCTCAAGGCTAGCACTCTACCACCTTGAGCCACAGCTCCACTCCTGATTTTCTGGTGGTTTAATGAGATATATGAGTCTCATGGACTTTCCTACCCAGTCTGGCTTCAAACAGTGATCCTCAGATCTCAGCCTCCTAAAGAACAGGCATGAGATACTGGCGTCTGGCTCCACACTGGCTTTTGTTTACAACAAATTCTGATCCTTGCAGCTCTTTCTTATCCATGTCTTCTTCCTTTGTGTCTTTTGGTGGTACTGGGCTTTGACTGGACAATGCCCACCTTTGTTTGTATGGTTGTGGTTGTGGGGCTTGAACTCTGGGCCTGAGCACTGTCCCTCAGCTCTTGGAGCTTAAGGCTAGTGCTCTACCACTTTGAGCCACAGAGTCCCTTCCAGTATTTGAATGGTTCACTGGAGATAAAGAGTTTCACAGAACTTCCTGCCTGGGGCTGGCTTTGAACCGTGATCCTCAGATCTCAGCCACCTGAGTAGCCACTGGCACCTGGGGCTCTCATTTATTTAGATGAAGGTTTGGCTAAGATTTTCGTGGGCTGGTCTGAAACCGTCATTCTCTGGATTTTGCCTCCTAAGTAGCTGTGAGTATAGGCTTGAACCACTGTACCTGGCTGCTTTTTTTTTAAAAAAAAAAAAAGAAAGGGCTCCAATTTCTTTTTAAACAAACAGGATTAGTGCCTGCGAAGGCCGATCATTTTTCACTCTCCCCTGTGAAGTGTCTCCCCCTCCCTCCCCCTGCATTCCACAGTCAGGGGGTCCCACTTTTACAGGGGGAAGTTTTGGTCCTTCAGAGGAGCTTTGGAATCCAGAAATAACCACGCGACATGCGACAATCTTTTTGCAGTCCTGATATTTTTTTTTAAGCTGACAGTTTATAGGTGATTGCATTCGTAATTACTTTTTAAAATTATTAATTATTCCCTTAGTAACTTTCTCTGATTGCAAAACCTATGCATATGTATGTTAGCAAATGTTGAAAATAAGTTTACCAAAAAAAAAAAAAAATCAGAATCACCTACAGCCCCGCTCCCCTGGGAAAGCCACAAATAACATTTAAAAAAAAATGTTGCAGACATTTTGTTCAATGTTTCTCAGAAACACATCCATGAGCTGGGGCAGTGGCACACACCTTAACCCCGGCACTGTTGGCTCAGGACTGCAATCCTAGCTACTCAGGAGTCTGAGATCTGGAGGAGGGAGGTTCAAAGCCTGGCAGGATGAACAGTCCTTCACAGACCCATCTCCAAAATAACCAGCCAAAAAAAGGCAGGCTGGAGGTGTGGCTCCAACGGTACAACATCAGCAAAACAAGCATGGGACTCCGAGTTCAAATCCAAGTACTGGCAACAACAACAACAACAAAAGAGCTGCAAGCATACATGTATACATGTATACAGTATACACGCACACTACAAAACCTTATCAAATGGGATCATGCTACGAATTAGGCTTCAGACCTGTTCTTCTCTCTTGCTAATGCATCATAATTATTTTTGCAGATTGCCAACTATTTGTTGACAACATGATTTTAGTGGCTGTGTTGCCATCCATTGCAGGAAGATGGATAGTGTAGTGCATTTAGCCAGCCTTCTACTTGGGGGGCACTGACTGGATTTCTAACACTGAGAAGGTCCTCACTATACGGACTGTGGGTCTCCTTTCCTCCCTCCTACCCTTCTTCCCTCCTTCCCTCCCTCCCACACCCATCCATCCATCCATCCATCTATCCATCCATCCATCCATTTAGCCATCTATCCTGCCATCCATTTATCCATCAGCCCACCCAATTATCCATCCATCCATTTAGCCATCCATCCACCCCATTATCCATCCATCCAGCCAGCCAGCCATTTAGCCATCTACCCTGCCATCCACTTATCCATCAGCCCACCCAATTATCCATCCATCCATGCATTTATACATCCATGCATTTATCCACCCATCCACTCAATTATTCTTCCTTTCCTTTCTTTTCCTTTTTTTTTTTTTCCCACCAGCACTGGAGATTGAACCCAGGACCTCACACATGCTCGGGAAGTGCTCTACTACATGAGCTAAGCCCTGGCCCTTTTGTATTTATTTTGTTTTGAGACAGGGTTTTTCTCCCTTTGCCTGGGTTGACCTGGAAACTCCTGCGTCTCTGCTGGCTGAATAGTTGGGATTATAAGCATGCGTCACCAAGCCCCGTGTTAGGACCTCTGAGCCTTGATCCCTTCCTAAGGACCTTCAGGAAAGCCTGCCTCTGTTTACCCCTCCACTGCAGGGAGGGGAAAGCCGCCCCCCCCCCACATCCCTGGCAGGGAGGACCCTGCTGTATTGACAGGAGTTCATTTCTAAGCTGAAGCTTCTGGCAGCTGGGACATGTTCTTCTGTGAATGTGCTGTCACTCTGAGAGGTTTTTCTGCCAACTCTGGGACATCAACTCCTTGGCTCTAATACAGGCTCGTGGCCTAGAGGGCACCGTGTTCTCTAGTCCCCTCCCCAAGGCCTAGGCCTAGAGGCCTCCTGACCCAGGGACAGGCCGGGCCTCTGACTCAGCCCTTCTGCGAAACTCATAATGGAGGGTGAGGAGAAAGAGAGACTATTATAACAAATTTACTCTTGGATTTATAATGCTTCTATTTTTCAAGTGTATACATCCAGGACAGTACCCTATACATTACATGAACTATGCACCCTATTATTTAAACAGAGAGACTTTGTGCCATACACACACACACACACACACACACACACACACACACACACACACACACGATTGCCAGGAGTACTGAATGTATTTTGGACTTGGAGTGTTTTTCTTTTATGATTTCTTTTTGTCAGTCGCGGGGCTTGAACTCTAGGCTTGAGCGCTGTCCCTCAGCTCTTCAGCTCAAGGCTAGCACTCTACCACTTGGGCTACATGGCCACTTCCTCTTTAATGATTTTGGGGGGGGGCAAGTAAGGGATAATAACCCCACCCCAAATCAAGGAGCTTCTGAATTCTTGGTGTCTGCTATTGCTCTAAAGATCCATTGCTTGACTTCCTCTAAGAGTTTAGAATGAACTGGATTGTGGATGGGGAAAATGAAATCAGAGAGGTTGATTAGCATGCCCAACGTCACACAGTTTGGAAGATTCAGACACAAATAAGGTTTGGACAGGCAGCCCTGCTCTGACATTTTCCGACACATCTCTTCCCTCTTCTGAACCTCCGTCGGTTCTTCCTTGGCCTTAGTGGATGCCAAGCGGGTGGCGCAACAAGCGTGAGTCACCTGTCCACCCTGTAAAGAGTAAATTGCTGTGTGCAGATGGATACAGACACTTGTGGTTTACTTTGATGTTGGGAGACATACCAGGCCTGCCCCAAGAAGCTAGCAGTCCCTGCTCCAGGACCAATGATTCTGCCTTTCTTATTAGCTTCACAGCCTGCATTTTATTTTGTAAAGAGAGGAGGGAAAAAAGTATAACAAAGAATTATAGAGAGGGTGAATATGATCCAAGCAAATTTTATGCATGTATAGAAATGTGATCATGAAATCTGCCTGGAGCCGGTGGCTCACGCCTGTCATCCTAGCTACACAGGAGGCTGAGATCTGAGAATCACAGTTCAAAGCCAGCCCAGGCAGGAAAGTCTGTGAGACTCTTCTCTCCAATAAACTAGAAAACCAAGCCAGAAGTTGCGCTGTAGTTCAAGTGGTAGAGCATCATCCTTGAGCAAAAAAGCTCAGGAACAGCTCCCAGGCCCTGAGTTCAAGCCCCAAAACTGATACACACACACACACACACACACATACACACACCACACACACACAGAGATGAAATCTTTTACTATCAATTTAAAACACAATAATGTGCTCTGACATCTATGTAAAGAAAAGGTTTTAAAAAAACAAAACCAACATGGCTCATGAAGCCTTGTACTCATCACCTAACATGGAATTGAGACCTCTTTGTACAACTACTTACTAGAACAAAAATGGGAGGGGGGAAGCAATCATGATTTGCAAACAGAGATCCCCTTGGAAGCTCTGGGGCCATGTCTGCACCTGAATTCCTCCGTGGCTTAGAGACAAGTCTGTACGGGAAGCAGGTACTGTAGCTCAGGGCCCCAGCAGAGAAGGAAAGTGGTATTTCTGGGGCAAGCAGAGGCCCTGGGATTAAGGAGGAGGAGCAGGAATCATGCCTCTGGGCTTTTCAGTCCCAACTGAAGCCAGGGTCTGGCTGCCAGCCCTCAGAGAGGGAACAATTTCTTGGCTGGTAGTTGCAGGGCGAGGGTGGGGGTGGGGCCGGAGAGAGGAGATCATCATGGGCCAGGGTGGAAATCTTCTCCTCCTCACGTGGGTGGTCAGATAAGATAGAGCTTGCCTGGTTCCTAAACTGCACTGACAAATCAAAGGCTCTGATAACTCCTGCAGCTTTTGAGGGGGGGCCTGCTGGAGATTTTGTGTCATCTGGAATCTTTCAAAACTCTGGACTCCTTTCAATCCATGACTCAGGTATCTTAACCACACCGTGGGGAGTATCGTTTACCACCTAGGTACCTAGTCCTCCTCTCCCAGCCAGAAAGCCGAGGCCCTGCAGGGAGTGAGAGTTAGCCAGGACCAAACCATCCGAAGTGGATTCAGTCATCGAAAACTCTGCTACTGCAAGAGCGGAGCAGATAACAGGTATCTCTGGGCCTCTGATTCCTCAGGTGTAAATGAATGGTGCTGGTGTTAAGAGACTTCCTGGAAATGCCACGAGAACCCAAGCAACCAGCCCAGGTGGGCATTTCACACCGGCTGGGCACAAAACAAAAAGGTTTCTGTTGGGATCAGGTGTGGGGTGCCATGCGGGGGGGTGGGGGGGTAGGGGGGGCAGGCTTGGAGGAGGCGCCGGGCCAGGCTTTGACTTCCCTTGCCAGTTGCTTTCCTGTGGGCTGGCTTCTTGAAACCTTTTCTCTGAAGGGAAGCTCTTGGGGGTGTTCTGAGAAATTTTGGGGCCTGGAATCTGGAGCTGGGGTCACTACTTGGTTTCTAAGAGTCTTCACGAGGTTTTGTTATTGTGTTTTGATCCTGTGTAAGTTCGAAGACCCATTTTCACAGGTGCACACCCAGAGGCTCTGTATTGCTAAGTAAACAACAATCACAGTGATAACAGCCACAACAGCCAGAATAAAAGAAGCCAGGTGCTGGTGGCTCAGGCCTGGCATCTTAGCTACTGGAGGCTGAGGTCTGAGAACGGTGCTTTGAAGCAGACAAACCCAAGAGAAATCTTATCTTCAGCAAAAAAAAAAAAAATCCAGATGTGGAGCTGCGGCTCAAGTGGTAGAGCATGAGCCTTGAGTGAAAAAAACTAAAGGAAAGTAGCCAGGCCCTGACTTCAAACCGCAGGCCCTGAGTTCAAACCCCAGAACAGACACAAATATATATATATATATATATATATATATATATATATATATATCCCTTCACAGAAGTGATCTGGGCTGGACAATCTCTGTGAGAGCCTCTATAATTAAAGGTAGGAAAAACTGCAAACTGCCCCAGGGTAGCGTGGAGGCAGGCTTGTGATTAATCCTACAGGCGGACTGGGAGGCTAGGGATAATTACAATTCTCATTTTACAGATGAAGGAAACTGAGGCTCAATGTTGTGAAGACTTGTCCGTAGACAGCCGGTTAATGGCCAGCCCAGCTGGGCTTTGAACCTGCGTCTCAAAAGGAGCAGCTGTCTATTATTAATTGCGACCTCCCTGGGTGCCACACACACACACACACACACACACACACACACACACACTACCAAAACAATGAACAATCCTCACTCCTTACAGTCCACAATGTACAGCCATTTGAATCCCGGATTTCCACATCAACAAACACACAGAAGTGAACTCAGTTTGCATCCTGTTTCTTAGTGGCCGAGCCGGTTTCTTTGGAACTGGTGCCTGGGCTCCGCAGCCAATTTTGGGCACCCCCTGATCAGCACTCCCTCCCCCAGATCATCACGTGGCCTCCGGGTGTCTCTGAGACACACTGCACCCCTGCACCCCGTGTCAGAATGATAAACACCGCCCTGAAGTTCTTCCCTCTTCAAGAGCAACTTTGCGACCCTCGCCCCCCTCCCCCCCTCTCCCAGGGGGCTGCTGGCATTATCTATCCAGCCACTATTTACCGTGGCTTTTATTGATTTTCTGGCTGATTTCCTGGCCTCAGCTAGGAACACACTCTCAGTACTAGAGGCTTAATTGGTGGGGAAGCAAAAGCAAGGGCTTCATGGGAGGTAGGGGGCTGGAGGCTGGCGGGGAGGGGGTTGGGGAGGTGGAGCTCTCCTCACTGCGAGGCTCTGGGCCCAGGCCTAAACGCTACTCAAGTCTTCTTGCTGACTCATGGGACAACCTTGGGCCAGTCTCGCCTGGGCCTTCTAAGGAAGCCTCCTTGGCTGTAAAATGGGGCTAGACACCCTTGCTGCTTGAGGTGGAGGAGATGGAATAAAAAAAAATTTGAACTCAGAACCTTGGCTCAGAGAGAGAGAGACAGAGAGAGAGAGAATGAGAGAGAAAGATCAATTCTCTTCGGATCGTCACATTCTCAAACAGCCTTGGTTGGGGAAAACCTTGGCAGCCTTCAGGAAGTTATTTTCACTGCCCTGTGCCTCAGTTTCCTCTCATGGTATAAAAAAAGAAGCGCTAAACAGGACCCACCTCGCTGGGCTGTTGTAGAATCGGAGGCGTTACCTGTGCCCAGCAGAGAGCTAGCTCTCTGCTCCGCAGCCTCAGTTTCCTTCTGCGGGGTGAGGGGAGGGGGTTCTTGGGGACTGAGTCTGAGGAGCAGGGTCTGCGGCCCACAGTCCTAACCCAGCCCTCCCACACCTGGCTTGTGGCACCAGAGTGTAAGGAAGTTGATTTCTTCTTTGTCTTTTCAATCTGTATAACCGCCCCCTACCCCCATTTTGTTTTGGGGTTTTCCTATGGAATCCTCTCTATTTCTATTTCGTTACTCCATCTGGGGTGGTCACGGCACCCCAAGCCCCAGCCTCTGTGTCAAGCGCAGACTCCCCCAAGGGCCAGTGGACAGGAGAGCTCTGCCATGGAAGATGACTTTGTGGGCTGCATTCTTGAGTTCTGAAGTCACCTGTGTGTCAGGGGGCCTGTCACCTCGTCCCCTCTGAGGGAGCTTTGTCCAGGTGACTCCCCAGGGCCGAGGCCTACCCTGCCCCACTTCCCCCCATGTCTGCGCCTGTCCCCCCCCTCTCCCGTCCCTCCACTCACCAGACACTTCCACATAGCCGTCCTTCGTCTTCACCATCAGCTCCTCCGGCTTGAAGCTGTGCACGTTCACGCATACTTTCCACGGCTCCCCGGGGAAGGGTGGGGGGCTCCTGCCCTCTGCAGGCACCCCGAATCTAGCGGTGGCCGTGGGCCCCCGGGGCACCATGCCTGACCTCAGCGTGCCAGGCCAGGCCGAGGAGAACCGAGGCAGAGCCCAGTCGGGCCAGGGGGCGGTGAGGTCGTCGGGGAAGGGGTCCACGCCAAAGCCATCGTCCAGCAGGCGGGAGGACAGGGGTGAGTCCCGGAAGGGGTCTCGGCGCAGGCGGCTAGGGTAGTGGCAGGAGAAAGGGATCTGACCATCGGCCATGATGACTGCTGAGCTCACGGGGGGAAACTGAGGCTGGGAGAGAGGGAGCTCGCTGACTGCCCAAGGTCACAGGTGGAGATGGCTTTCAGAGCCGAGTCTTCCGGATGAAATGCTGCTCTTCTGCCAGAAACATCCACGTCACACACAGTCCACGCCAAGCTGGGGGGGTGGTGGCAGGGACCCCCTAAAGGTGACCCCTTCCAGAGGACCCCCCTTCCTCCTCACACGGCTTCAGCAGAGATCAGCAAGCCACCACCTTCCTTCCAGAACGCCCAGGCGTCCAGCCAGAGACGTTGAGGTCGGCCTACAGGGGAGCCAGGAGCTTAATAACCCTGGGGGACGTGCGCCTAGAAACTTCTCCTGGCTTCTGGGCTGGGAGCTTTCTTTTTATTTGCTGCTGGGGGCTGGAGGCGGGTTTTGCGGACGCCTCCTGTCACTGGAGTATTCCAAGGTGATGAACCAGCCCCGGAGAATCCGCTGAGAGGGGCAGCTGCGTTCTGGGGCTGGGCAGGCAGGGGGGTGGGGCGGACAGAGGGTGGACAGCGGGTGGGCGGGGCTGTGGCTTGCTGCTTGTCCAGCCCTGGCCTCTCTGGACAGTCTCTTCCCCCCTCAGCTGCTCTGCTGGCTCCTCCCCTCGGCTGCCTCCCTTCCCCGGGAGGGGGGGAGGGGGGAGTGTCCTCCCGAAGCTGGGCACTAAAGCCCAGCTATTAATAACCCTCTGCCTTGCCTAGGGCTCATGTCACCCTCTGGAAATACCTTCCCCAGGGGCCGCTGTGTTGTATCCTACCTCCCCCTACACTGGGAGGGGAGACATAAGGAAAAAGAGACAGAGCTCAGTGGGTCTGGAGGCCTTAATTTGGAGTCCCGACTCTCGGAGGCTTACAACCTCTGAGAATGGTAAACAAATGCAGAAGTATAATTAGTATTCAAATGGTAAATTGTGGCTGTGGTGATGGGGTAGTGACCACTGGGATTTGTGGTGGGGGGAAGAAGCATTGATTTAGTACCAATACCATGGAGGCAAATGGGAAATGATAACCCGGAGGCTGGATGGGGGGACTGGGGAAGATTGTTAATGGATAGAAGAAAAGCAAGGGGCCAGCCAGGCGCCCATAGCTCATGCCTGTCGTCCTAGCTGCTCAGGAGGCTGAGATCTGAGGACCACAGTTCAAAGCCAGCCTGGGCAGCAAAGTCAGTGGGACTCTTAGCTCCCATTAACCACCAGAAAACTGGAAGTGGTGCTGTGGCTCAAAGTGGTAGAGTGCTAGCCTTGAGCAAAAGAGCTCAGGGACAGACCCCTGGACAGGAGTTCAAGCCCCATGACCAGCAATAACAACAACAACAAAACAATCAAGGGACTAAGAGCTAAACTACATAAGTTCCAATTGAGAAGAAAACAGAAACATTTTTGGCTAAGCAACGTAAGAGGATTCTTGCTGAAAAATAACTAGGGAGGTAAGAGGAGTTGGGAGTGGGTGGGGGGTGAAGAGTCTGGGGAGGTGGAGGATTGGGGGTGGAGGATGGGGGAAGGATGAGTAACCTATCAGATATGGAAGATGACCACGTATCTAGGGTGGAGGTCGTTGCTAAACGGACCTCCTCCTCTTTTTTAAAACAGGATGTCCTAAGAAGATGCACAGAGAGGCCTCAGGGAAAGTTCAGGAACCTGATGAAGGTCCAACAAAGAACCTTTATCAGCTGTGACGTGAATCCTGGACATCTCCAGGCTGCATTCCCAACTGTGTCATAAGCCTGAGGGAAGAGGCCTCCTTGGGGGCTGGGCCATTAGGAGCACGGGACTCTGGTCCCAGGGGAGGTCTGTGCTTTTGTATTTCCTACTTTGAATTATTGCATAATGCTTGCTCTGAATTGAGCCCTGCGCTAAGTGCTTTACCAATATTAAATCAGAACACTCCAGCCTCGTAAGGCACTTTTTGCAGATGAGGAAATAGCTTGGAAGGGCTGCAGACCCATTCTTCATTTAGTTCATTCTGATCCATTTGTCTTTGTCTTGTTTTAGCTTTGAGGCAGGAGGCTCTGGCTGACCTGGAACTCGAAGTCTTCTTGCCTCAGCCTCTCCAGAGCCGGGATTACAGGTGTGTGCTACCACACCCCCAGAGTGCTAAAATGGTTCACAATGATTACATTAAATTGCTCAACGTTCTCTCTGCAGGTAGGCAGGAAATAAATTCTGAAACCCAAGTCCCCAAAAGGACATGTTTTCTGGATCCCTCCCACGCCCCCATTCTTCCGTGCTGCAGGAAGAATCTCTGGCGAAAGGCCTGTTGGGGTTGAGATCCGACGTCGTCTCTGCCCCCTCTGTGGGCCTTGGGTCTCTCTGCTCTGAGTCTTTTACCTAATGGGTGGAATGGGAGTGTTGAGGAATTTGATGAGTCATGAGTGGAGAAGTCGTTTTGATAGGAGGAGGTGCTCCCTGTGAGGTAATTGGCTAAAAATAAGAGGGACAACAGCAGCCCCTAAGTATTAGGCGTTATTGCTTCTCCTGTCTCTGCCTGGTGCTGCATTATCCTCTTGTGATACTTTAGCAGGTAGGGAACAGGTGCAGAACCTCAGCCTTGCACGCCGGTAGAGGTAGCAGGGCCCGAGTGGAAACTTGGGTTCTCGTGGGGGGTCCCGTGTCTGAGCAGGTGACTGAGAGACCCCCGCTTCCTCTGCAGGACATGATCCGATGGCCGCCGTGCTGCCCAAAGATCTGGGGTGACCTCAACACACTGGAAGCGTGGGGCTGACATCATGCTGGGCCCAGAATCTTCCATGCTCTCTGTAATTACAGCTGGGTGGGGCCGGATGAGTTGACACGAGGGAGAAATCTGACAGGCAGGGGGCTGGGGTAAGGTCCTGGAGTGGGCGGGGTGGGGTGTGGCTAACACTCTGTGTGTGTATGTGTGTGTGTGTGTGTGTGTGTGTGTGTGTGTGTGGAGTGTGGGGGGATGGGTTGGAGTGGGTGCCGTGGTAGCTATGGATTTGCACACATGCAGATGAGATGGATGGATTATGGCCAAGTGTCCCAGAGGGTATATTCTGGAAGGTTCTCCTCTTCTTCTTTCTCCCTCCAGCCTCCTCCACAACTCTACCTAGAAACTTCCAAAAGATCCCTCCTCTATCTGGAACAAGGCTCCCCTTTGGAGCCAAGTAAACTGGAAGGGAGAGATTCGGGGATGAGAGAACTTCATGTTCTCACCCGGCTTCCCGATTCAAAGCCAAGACTCAGGGCGTGGGGAGCAGAGCTGGGAAATGAACTACAGCTCGCGTTCATGAGCTTCCCTGGGGCCAGTGTGGGCCAGGTGCTTTCCCTTCCCACAACCCTCTGATTGAAGAGGAAAAGACTTTTACCAACCCCATTTTGCAGACGGGGAAACCGAGTCACCCAGAGACCATACGACTTGCCCTGTCTGTCTACGTAACTGGTTAAGTGGCTAAATAAGTGGTTTGAACCAAACCTAGGCCGCTTGTCATACTCCTTCTGAGGGAGCAGGGGCGCAGACGGTGGTTATGAACTACTGACTCTGTGTCCGCAGTTCTAAGTCAGGACATTGAGTCATGAAAGCAAAACCACCTGCCTCCCCCTCCCCCTGGGGGGGGAGGGGTGGTCACACAGTCAGGCTGGGATGATGTGGTCTCCTCCCCTCCCCCTCCTCCAAGGCTCTGGCTGCTGTTTCTGGGTCAGCCTTGCTTTCCATTTTGGGAAGGTGAGAAGAAGAGGCAGCTGCTGGCTCTCCCTGCTGACATGACCACCTGGTGAGAACTCAGAGATCGCAGGTGGAAAGCGGGCAGGAAATGCCATGGGCTGTCACCAGCTGGGGTGAAATACAATATGGGATTGGGGTGGAAGGAGAGTCCCCGGGTGTGTGTGTGTGTGTGTGTTGGAATGTTAGATGTCCCAGGAACCTAAGAGTAAGTTCTCATAGCTGCTATCATTTCCTTTTGTGTCCTTTATTTTAATCTGAGAGAATGTTCTCATGGCTGCTATCTTTTTATGTTTTTGTTGTCGAGTGACTTAAAAAAAAAAAAGTACTATCCACATGTTCAAGATCTTGTCTTTAAAAAAAAAATAAGAATATGTTTTCTGGGAAGCAAATGTCATAATTCCTCATATTAACCCCACTGACAACATCATTTGTTTCATCCGGCCTCACTCCTCCGCTGAGAATCCGGACGCTTTCTCTGACCTCCACAGTTGAGACCACCACCAGCCACGTGTCCTGGGTGTTGGAGATTGTACATACGTACACACACGCTGATGCCTCCGACTTATGGCCTGAGAACCTGCGCCTGCCATCTTCATAAAGCCTTCACACGGGGGAAATCTCATCATGAATCCTGAAAGCAAACAGCCCGGGGCAAGGGCCATATCACACCGCATGACAGGGGCTCAGGGGGCAGAAGCAGCGGCAGGACAGACGCCAGCCTGTCCCCTGCCAAATTCCAAGCTTTTCCTTTCCACTCTGGTAGGAAATGGACGGTCCCCACCCCCTGGGAGTTCCAGCCCCCTGGGCCTCCTCCCATCTCCTCCCATCCACATCATTCCAGGGGGAAGGTCTATCAGGACAGAGGGACAGACTCATGGCTCTCTGGGCTCATTTTTTGCCTAATGCTCCATCGACGGTCCCAGGAAACTTCCAACTCTCTGGGGGAACTGGGCTGGATCCTGGGATTCTTCCAGAACCATCCAGGTTTCAGAGCCAGGGAGACCTACGCTCATGGCTTTGTCAGCCTCCCTCTTTTCCGTCTGCTCCCCCATTCCTAGAAGGTGACGTCATTTGAGTGCCCAGCACTCCATGAGAGCAGCACTGTCAGGTACCTTGTCCATGGAAACCTCCCAGGCCCTCGGGGATGTCTGGTTCTTCACAGCAGGACTCCAGGCTGGCTTTGAACCATGATCCTCAGATCTCAGCCTCTTGAGTAGTGAGGATAACAGGTGTGAGCCACTGGTGCCCAGCCTAATGCCAGTCTTCAGGGGTAAAACTTTCTATGTCTGCCAAAAGTCTAGCTGGGAAAGTGGCACACAGTCGTCCTGTTTGGGACATTCAAGACATGCTACTAAGAGCAGGCCTGCAGAGGGTGGGTCTGAGCTCTGGGGAAAAGGTCAGAGAAAAGATGCACAATCCCAGGTACCTCTGAAGTTAGAGTAGGAACTGGCTGGACAGGTCGGTGACCATGTTCCCAGGCAACTGCTTTGCAATTTTATTATTTTTAGGACTGGGAGTGACCCCTCTGGGCAGCGTTGGGGTTGAGAAGATGCTTGAGGTTTGTGCTGGCCAGGAGGATGTACAGATGTGGAGAAGGTGAGATCTGAATAAGATATCTCCTTTATGTGAGAGCCTCGGCTTTAGCGGTGACCAAGACAGCGAGGCTAACTGCGGGAGAAACA